TGGTAAGATTCAGGATATATAAAGGTAGAGCCAGGTGGATTTATTTGATGGGTTGGAAATAGGGTGTGAGCAAAAGAGGAGTCCAGGGTGACTCTAGGTCTCTTTCTCTGAACAGCTGGAAAGAGGATAGACTTTTGTTTTTTCACATGGAAAGGATTTGGAGGGTTCTTTAATTCAATACGGCTATTTAATGTCCAAGGGAGAATTCAAGTAGTCAGTTAAGTGTTATGAAAAGGTTTAGTGTATGCATATCTTAAACTTATTGTGCATCACAAAACTGTTGTCCAAGTTATTTGTATATATTTACATATGCAGGAACAATGCATATATTGTCAGATTTTTTTTTCATATTGTTAATCTGATGGTACCATGTGGTACCACATTGTTGACTAGATTTATTAACAACAATAATCCTGGGCTAAGCCCTCTGATCTTAATTTTATTCTGAAGCTACTGAATGAATATAAGCTACTGGCTAGTAGTGCTGTTGTCATATTTTCCTGACCAATGTAATCAATAAATGGGATATACCATGTACTGATAACCTTAATTTCAAAAGTGCATCAATGGCTTGTTTTTGTTCTTAGTGTCTTTGAGGATATAGAAATTTCTACAGATAGAGCTCATAGATTTGATATGGATAATCTTATTGTTTGACTTTTTTATTCATTAAGTTTATTGGTACATTTTAGGTATACAATATGATGACATTCATCATTAGGAATTTGTACCTTTGCACGATACATCTTGGTTCTTTTTTTTTTTTTGTACCGGAGAATGGACTCAGGACCTTGTACTTGCCAGGCAGGTGCCGAAACCACTGAGCTAAATCCTAGGCCCTTGGTTCTTATTTTTTCCCCATTCCCTTGGCCTTCCTTCAATCCCTCCACCTCGCTCTATTTACAAAGACTTTGTTTCTGTTTTTTTCCTTTTTTCCATATTTATTCCTTTCCCTTCTTTTCTTTCCCCTACCTCTTGAACTTCCCCTTCCCCTTTCGATCAAAGTCTTGCTAATGTAAACTAATTGGAGGCATTGGAGGTTCTGGCTTTTGATGATAAAGAGAAAGAATTTAATTAATTTTAATTACATATATTAAATAAAATTTTACAAGACTAACAATGATGTCCTAATATGCATCTTATGTTATGACTAACTGCATTTAGAGTATTAAAGCACATGTTTGGACTACTGATGGATTTTGCTTTTACTGCATTAGGTGGGTGTTTAAAACTGTTTTATCTGTTTTCCTTTTGAGTATATGCACATTAATCTTATAATATAATCTGAATAGAAGAATGTGTTTGGACCACTGTCCATAAGTGGAAATGCTTTATTTTATTTGTAGTTATTTGTCAGAGAATATGAATCCCCTTTAAAAAAACCTTTTTTTTTTTTGGTTTATGTTGGTTGACCATTATTAACTTACAAGAGAAGAGTAACTATAAAGGATTATGGTTTCTTTCATACAGAAAAATATTCTAGAAATTATTATGCTACTGCTGTCTTTGAAGATATTTGGAGTATGAATTCCATGCCTCCGAGAGTTCCGCTCATTTCCATGTCTGGAGCCAGATACAGCTACAAAGACAGCAGTAGCAACACAAAGTCTTCTCCCTGACCACAGCAGGCTCAGGAGTCAGAAGACGTGAGTTATTCCAGCCTCTACGACTAACATTATTATTATATTACTTGGCACATCATTTTACACTTGTCTATCTCAGTTCTCTTAAAAGTAAGTGGTTTAAAATATATAGTTGTTATAATAAACTATTTTCGAAAGTCTAAAGTGAAAATGTAGGGACATCAGAAGTAACTGTGAACTAAAATTTTTCAGAATTGTTTGTGTATCAATTCACAAAAGTTGAGAGTAGAGAGAACAGGGAAGGTAAACTTATCTTTATGCTCTTCTGGAGTAGTGCATGAATATTATGGAACATTAGGACAAAATTAGAGAAACAGATAATTTCTGACTTTTTTAATGGAATAATTCAAATGGTTATAAATAATTTGCATATCATTCAAATACTAAGTATATAACTTTAATTATTTTACACAATTTTTCTTCCATCAGCTTTACCCTCTTTTGTTGAGATTTTGTTGGACATGCAAGACTAAAGGGGGGGACTGTATTTTTTCTACTTTCTTTGTGGTTATGACTGGTATTTGCACAATGTATGAGGGTGAGGTGAGGATATATAAGTACAAATGCCTTGAAACATCTGACCTGGCTTCTCCTTACTGTTTCCTTCACTCCTCTTCTTCACTGGGCTATTTTTTCTGTTTATTAGTTTGGCTCTGCCCAGGTTTCTAGAACAAGAAGTTTTTATTTCAGGTAAATTTAAGGGTCTCTGGCCAACAGCTTTGTAGTCTACCCATGTGAATATAGCAATTTGTTTTCCTATTCTGGGCTCAGCACAAATATAGTCACTAACATCTTGCCCAGTTCCCTTAGAACTGAGTCCCTACTTAACAGCTTCGTTCTTGTGTCCTTCTGGAGCTGTGGTCCTGCTTTCCCTTGTCTAAATCTCGAAGGGTCAAATTTTCTCTCTGTGCTGCAGTCCCTACATGTGGAAGCTGAGACCTGCTGCTGCACTCGCCTATGATGTATCCCTTTAAGTACACCTGAACCTGTCCACTGACCAACCACCCAGCTCCTTTGGACACCCCACTTCCAAGCACAACTGCCAACTCTTTATACTACATGTCTCCCCACTTAGCAACGAGTACTTCTTGGGCCTTTGCTTATTTGCCTCAGATTCCCCTGTCATCCTCTTCATAAGTCTGTCAGCTGCTTCTGAGGCCCTGGGAGAAGGCATTCCAGTCTAAGAGGCTTCTCCAGTGTCTGCCTGGTTCCCCTGAATGAATGCAGCCTACACTGCTTTCTAATGCCCCAGTGCAGGACCCTTTTCTTAAATGTTTTCCTCCTTCTACAACATTTCCTTCAAAGATTTTAAGACTGTCACAAGTCTCATGTGGCCAAAAAAGCTCAGTGTGCTTAGGCAATTGTTACACATAGAAATATGTGACACAGATGACCCAGATCTTTGGAACAGAAATGAAAAAAAGCAAAAAAGCACAAACTTCAATGTGCATTTATATTTTCACCTTTCAAAACAAAAAGGAGGACACAAAAATGGCTGGCTAATTTTAAACAATGGAGCATTATAACAAAGATTTAATTCTAGAAAGAAATCATTTGCAATGTTTAATCAGTATTGGTCATGGACTTTGTTACACTGGGAGATGACAAGATAAAACTACTTATGTTAATCATACTATAGCTATTAACTAAATGAACCACTCCAGGCCCCACCAGAGAAGAAAAGGAGCCAACATATGATTTTGAATGATCCTTAGAATTACAAAATGGTTAAGTGAATTTTAATACACAAATTATGGTCTGCTCACTTGAATTGATCCTTTGATACAAAATACATTGCTTTTTGTCATTTTTGAAAGGTTATAGTATACTTGCATTGGAAATACACTTGGAAGAGGGCTATTTTGGAAATAAATATATATGGAACCATATTTTATTTGAAAAGTTGGGGAACTGCTTTGCATGATATGTCAGAACATTATTTGTTCCCAAGATTAGTGAGTTTAAAAGAAATGAAAATAGAATCTTAAAAGAAATAATTTCTTTCCCATCAGAGGAAAAATAATAGGAAAATAAAATTCTTATGAAAACATAAATAGACTATAATGACAGAAGTACACGAAAACATTAAGAAGTTTTTTACTGCCCCCTGCTGTCAGTTTCCAAAAGAAATAATGGAAAAAATGACTGCAAAAACTGACAAACTGCATTTGTTGAACAAATTGGTTGGGGGGAAAAAAGCCTTCCTTTAATTAAACCACTTTTCAGCCAGTAATGCTAATGCTTACTTCATGTTTTGTGGGAAGTAATTTGTAAAACTAAGAAACCAACATCACCAAAGTGTGTATTAGTAACATCAGGTGAAAGGTATAGTTTGTGCTTTGTGAAATATTGAGAATTAAAAAATTTCCAGTGTTTAAATTTTCATCCAGTGATGTCTAATTTACTGTTTCCAAATTAAACTATTTTGCATTTGCTTTTAAATATTTATATAACTTAGCTAAAATATTCATTGTTAATAATAGTAAAACTTTCAAAACGAATGAATGCTTATTTCTGTAGTATAATCCTGACAAAATACTATTAGGGTTTTTGCACCCGAAATCAAGAAATGAGAAATAATAAAGTGAGTAGGTTATACTAATGCAGTGACATCACTAATTAAAGGTGGGGTCCTGATGGGAAGCGCTTCAGTATGATTACCAATCCCGCTCTTTAACATGTTTGTACGAGAAGGTATAAAGTCTGCAATGAATGAGAAAAAGTTACAGAAATTATGATAGACACAGTGCTATGAGATATTAAGTGTGCACTCATCATATTTTATTGCACCTATACTCTAATGTCCATGCCTGTGCATAAAGACTGGAACCTCTGGTGCTTCTGATTTGGTTTCTCTTTCTTTGTTAGAAAAGTTTTGTCTTTGCTTGCATCTCATTGGAGGTGTGTACATGTACTTGACAGATTATGTGCCAATTTAGCTCATCCTCTATGGCTGGCCTCTGTCCATCTTTGAAATGAAACTTCTACCTCCTGACAATTTCTGGCCATCCTTAGCAGCTCATTTTCAAATATACACTTTTCTCAGTACTTTGTACACATCAGCTTCCTGTGTTAAGGTGCCCTGGCTGTTATTAATTCTAGAGTCCCGCGTAACAACCTGCTTATGCTCCTTTTTGCCTGTCACATCTTTTGTTTTCTTCCAAGTTAGCAGCACAGATGATCCATGATGACAGAAATATCCTGCCAGGGATATTAACACTACTAGGATTTTCAAGTTGAGGTGCTTTTTGCCTTGCTATCTCAGTGACCAGAGGGCTAACTACACAGGAAGCCTTTCCTCTCTTCACATTCAAAGAACAACAAAACCATTTGAAATTTGAAATACAAAGGTCTTACCTGACCCGAGGAGTTGGGTTCCCAGTGACTCTACACTCCAAATAAATGCGACTTCCTTCCTCGACTTCTTGGCTCCTCAGCTTCTGGATGAACCGAGGCGCGGTGGGGAAGTGGGGGGCCTTCGTGGGTTGCGGGCGAGAGGTGCTATTGCACTGTGGCCTTGCCACACGCTGGTCAGGCTGGTAGCAGTGCCTGGTCTCAGGCAGCTTGAGCTCTGGTTCCATTTCTTGATGGTCTTCCGTGGGGCTCTGGCTGGCTGAGGCACTCCTCAGGGTTGACGGCTGATTTTTAGGAGACAGATACCCACTGTCTGGTGATGACAACTCCCCATTTGGGCTCCTGTTTCTTGGTTTTACTCCTCTAAATATGGATGTCAGCTCCTCAATGAAATTAGCCGCTTTGTCACACAGCTCACTCTGGGGACTGGCCTTGCTTTGATGTGCTGGTTTGGGCTTTGCATTTGTGCTGGGAGCTTTTGCACCCCTTTTGGCAGCCTTTCGGAGGCTCCGGATATAACTCGGCCTAGCAAACTGGGGGGACACGGCAGATTTCCTCCTTGAAGCAGGTGAAGCGATCCTCTCATTTGCTTCTTCTGCCGCAGGCTGGATAGATGTTGGTTTATTATTCTGAGGTCTTTCTGAAGAGATTGGCTCACCCAGTTTGGTGTCCTTGTGGGAACGACTCTCACAGACGCTAACAGGAGAGGTGTTGAAAATCTGCGAGATCTCCTTTTCTGAGTCAAAATCCTCTGTCTCAGAGTTGGCTATAGCTCTCCGGGCCAGGTCAAGGCTCTTGTTTATCTCTTCCTGGCTAAGAAAAGCAGACAGCCCTGGGGAGAAGTCAGCATTCTTGCTTTCTTCCTGCACGTCTGATAAGGAATCATAGAAGGAGTCGTGGGAGGACGTCTCTGACATATTTGAACAGTTTTCATACACGCATGCCTTCAACAGGAAGCCAGAAGCCCTGAAACCCGTTTTCTTCTTGTGTTCTGAAAGACAACATAGAATTATTAGTAGTAATGATTTTTCTCTATTTTTTCCTAACGCTGCAATCTACCAATTGAGAGAAACATCAAAGAGAACAAATATACCAGTTTTCTCATTCCATGAGTTGGAAGAAATGTCAGTTATATTTGTGTTTATCACCTACTACTATTTTAATGTAATATATACCTCATCAGTGAATATCAAATGTCTCACTAACCAGAATTGAGTAATCCAAGTAGGTGCTACCTAGAGCAGGTGTGATTAGCGTAGCAAGGCATTCAGAACTTCTCGTTGGCTCCTTCCTACCCACACACCTCATTAAAGCCCCCATTTCATTGATTTATGAGATTGCCAGCACCTTGGTATTTTTAGTAAACCTGACTTTGCTTATCTGACCCTAAGCCATAAAATACATTTTAAAGATTGCAATTTCATTTGCCTTTGGTTTTCAATGAAATATTTGAAGGTTTACATCTTATCCTTTCCTTGTGTCCAGTCAAGCTCATTCATATTCATTCATTCAACATGACTCCAATAGATAGTAAGTTTATTAAGTTTCAGGCGCTAGAGGGACAGCTGTGCTCCAGACCAAGGATTTGCAAACTTTTCTACTAAGGACCAGAGAGTAAATTAATTAATCAGTTAAATAATTTTTACTTTCCTGCTGTGGTAATTACTAACTTGCCATGGTAGCATGAAATCAACCACATGAATGAGCACAACTGTGTGCCAATAAAACTTTACTTGTGGACCTTGATTTTTGAATTTTATGTAAGTTTTATAGTAAAATATAATTTTCTTCTTTTGATTTTTTTACAACAGGTTAAAATTTAAAAAAGAAAGAAAAACAAAACAAAAATCCCAAAACCACTCTTAGCTTTCAGGCTGTACAAAATATGCAGCTGGGTGGATTCGGTCCAGAAGATGAAATTTACTGACTGTTGATCCAGAATAATGACATAGTCCTTACGTTCATGGAGTTAAAAGTCATGTGGGGCAGTGACTTGAAGGAGATGGAAAAGACGTTACACAAATGTTATAGAAATAAAATAAAAGTTTGATAGGACCCCGAAGAAAGAGAAAAGTGTCTTGGAGCTGTGAAGCCCTAATCTAACCTTGAAGGACACACGTGAGAACTGTGTGTTTTGCCTAGGACACTAAATGGGAATATCATAAGAATTAAATAAAAGGTGTTTCATTATAAAACAATTAGGCATCGACTTAAATACCACTGTTCTTGGAATTAAATATTGGGAGGCAATGACTTCTCTTGCTATTCCAAGTGAACTTTTCTTTTTCTATATATTATTTATAGAATAATAGGAGAAATGAGCTAGCAAACTTCAGAAGTGATCTTTGCCTCAAGATTGGATCTAAAAGTCAGTGAAGAAAGCCACCTGGGTATGGTGAAGCTCAACTATATAGGCTGTACCACAAGTAAACTAGGTAATTGTGTCTCATGAGGTCCAAATTGGGCTCGTTGTTTTGAAGGAAACTCACTGATTTCAAAGAATTTTATGCAAGAGTTGAAGGAGGTTCTAGAAATCTATCTCAAGAATGTACCACCACATAGGATGCAGTGATTCATAGAATCTGTTAATTCAACCAAAGATATGTAATCAGAGATCCTATAGTTTAATATCAACCTACTGTATCTTCTTTAGTTCAATGCTGTACTGTTGTCTTCAATGTCTTTTTAGAAAAATTACTTACTTTCTTGTGCTTGAATTCCAAGTTTTCCCCATGCTAACCCTACTCTGCCTACTAAGGTAGACACAATTCTTCCCACCATTTCCCACAATGCTTCTAGTAAATTCTGTAAGTCCCCTGGAATGGTCTGATTATTGTTGACCGCCCTTTATCAACTGAAATATTACTCTAATTCCTTTGTGCTTCTGTACTTAACCATCTTAGTTATTCTCTAATTACTTTAATAATCAGAGAATCATTTATAGAGAAAAAGTTATATTCAGTATATTTTGAATTATTGGATATGTTTTGTTCACGAGAAACAAGCATTTAAAGTATAATTTTGAAAAGGCAAAAATCACAGCAAGTATAAACTAGTAGAAAATGAATATACATTCAAGATTTTCTATAACTAATTAGTGACAAAACTAATAACATTTTACAACCCTTTCAGAGAATGTTCTAAAGACCAAATACATATGTAGGCAATTAGGAATGCTAAAATGAATTGGCTAGTCGATTTAGAGCTGAATATACCTAGAAAAAGAAAATATAGTATTAGAAATAATTTATGCTATTCTTACTAGAAAAAATACTTTATCTATGAAGAAGTTATAATTTTCATTCCTGTAAGATTTCTACAACTTACAGAGTTGTCAAATTGCCTTGTTAATGACAGTGAACAAATGGCACAGATTCTCACAGAATAAGAAGGCCCTGGAAGGTCCCCCAGAGCCTATCCAGCATTTTGATGAAAGGACATCCGGTATTATTTGTCTGTTTAAAAGTTATTGATGGTTTATTTTGAGAAGGCAGGTTTGTTCCTTCAGTAAATCAGCAAACATGATAGACAACATGTGCAGAAGCCAGCGTCAGGATCAGAACTAGCTCCTGGAATGTGTGAAGAGAAGACATATAGGTAACATAAACCTAGAAGCGACATAATGATGGGAAGAGAAAGAGTCTTGGATTGAAAGGATGTTTGTGTACTGAAGGCAAAACAGATCATATTTTCATTTCCTGAAAAGTTTATTTTTCCTTGGAAGAGAAATTCAGTTTTGTATTGAGCTCAGTGCAGACAGAGATTTGTGCCTGCCACACCTAGAGTAGGCGAATCTGATAACCCAAGTAGATAACTTTAGTTCTTGATGTGAATAACTTGAAACATAAACTGAGATAGATGTACCACACACAAAAGGATTACACATTCCAAATGTATTCGTGGTATATCTGCTATGTGCCCAGCAATGTGTTACGGAGTAGGATATAACTTAGAAAAAGGCAAGATTTTAGCTCTTGTAAAACGTAATCTATAGCAGATATATCTAAGTAAGAAGTGCATACAATTTAATGCATTAAGTGCTATGGTGAGAAAAGAACAAAGTACTGGGACAGCACCCAAAAGGGGCACCAGGATAAAAATCAGGAGAAGTTTTATGAAGTATGGTTGAAAGAAAGATACTTGCTGATTGATCACATGTAGAGATGACACAGAGGCAGGATTGCAGATCTCTTACTTCAGCAAGAGGAATATTGCCATTAACTAATATGCCACAGTGGAGAGACAAGTTTTAAGAAAAAATAAATTTGATTTTGAGCTGATCCATTTGCATTTGGGGGACCTCTGGTGTTGACATCCAGAAGGCAATTTAAGATGCTCATTTAGAGCTTGGGAGAAGGAAGCACGGAGCTAGGCTGGGCATTATTGGTCTATGCTTGGCTCCTTAAGGCACAAGAGTGGATAAGGCTTTTGATTAAGAAAGAGAGAGTAAAGAAAAGAATCCTCCAGAGCTTTGGAGAGAAATCAGGATGTGGAAATTGGAAAAGAAAATGTCTCATGGAGGAAAGAGTGTCCTTTTTACTTTAGCAACTGAGAAGATGTGGCATCAATTGCAGGAGCAATATCCCTGTGTGGAACAGAGAGATAAAAGCCAGACTTCTAAGAGAAGGAAATATAAATTGCAAATGCAATTGATTGTTTTGAGATTTATAGAAAGCAGTAGTAGAATCAAAAAGTGGATTCTAGTAACTTTTTTTTGCAGGGGAAGGGGTTTTAGGAGGGAACACATTTAGGATGGGATACCTCTTTCAATGCTAGTGGAATTAGCAGACAATCAGAAGCTAAAAATACAGATAAGAAACTAGGATGGCTTACAGTCCCAGTCTTCAAGGATGTGAGAAGAAATGAATTATTAAAGTACAAATGAGGTATTTGGCATCAGGTAGAGGAAGAACAGTTCTTCCATTCCATTATCAGAAGAGAAAAACAATAAAAAGTGTGCTTGCATACAGACATGTGTGTGTGTGTGTGTGTGTGTGTGTGTGTAGTGGGTGAAAAGGAGAGCTCTTAAGTTGAAACTGTTGTGTGCTTGGAAATTCATGAGGACAAAAGATAATTCGAATTATTTGTAAGGAAAGAAAGAAAGTTTTAGGAGAGGGATTTGTGGGCAGAGCAAAGGCTTAGCTGAAGTTAGATGCAATATATTTAGGGTGTCATTAATCATTGCACAATTCTCTCCAGCAGAGCTCATCAGGCCAGATGAAGGGATAGAGATAAAAGATCTAGGTTTTGACATGCATGTAAAATGGAAATGAAGTGGGCGAGGTTGTTGAGAACAGGTATACTCTAAACTTATGGTGGACTGGGATTCTTGGGTAGGAATTTGAACATGGAGAAATTAAGAAATCAAAGGCCCAGTGGAAAACAAAGAAAAATATAGTGAGAATAAATGAGAAATTGAAAAGGATGCAATAAGATAGTGAAATATTTAAAATGAATATTGAGGAGGTAGAGTTTTCTGATTCATGTCTACATTGTTTTAAAAATTAAAGTATATTTTATTTTGTCAAATTTTGATTTATTATATATTTGATGGTTAAAAAGGTCTTTGTTTAAGGTACATAATTTGAGATTTGAATAGCATATACCTGTGAAACTATCATCACATATCAATTAACATATCACCTCAGATATTTACTTTTTTCTTTTTAGTGACAAATATTTATATTTTCTTTCCTTTTTTGTCTTTTTGATGAGAACACTTAGGATCTATTTTCCTGACTACAGTCAGTGTGATTGGCTATTTATTTTTGTAGAACAATATCAGGGCTGAGTAGTTCAATCAGAGACTGTCCGATGCACAAAGGCCAAAGTATTTATATAGACTTTTACTGAAAAATATTTGCCAGTCCCTGGTGTAGAAGACTAGTTACCTAATGAATTCACATAACACACATAAAAATAAATGGTGATAATAATCTTGATAAAGATAATAGCTAGTGATGGTCTGCTTACCAGGAGGTGGGCATTGTG